CCCATGGACAGAAGAGAAAAATCAGGAATTCAGACATGTATTCTAAGTAATGTGTGGTCTGCTTATCTGTTTGCTCTGGAAGAGGTGAGATCTCCCACTATGATTATGTTTACCCCTTGTAATTCCCTCAGATTGTGTTCCAAACATTTCAGGTTATGTTGTTAGGTGTTTACAGATTGTTATGTAGTCCTGGTTGTTACCAGCATTATTACTCAATGATCCACCTTAGCCTTGAGGATGCATTTTACCTTTTGCTATATTTAGCTTGTTCTGAATATAGCTATACCAGTTATCTTTGGTTAAAATTTTGCTGGGCTACCAGTTAACTTTGCTTTCATCCTGTTATTATATATGCTGCGCTTTTTACTTCTCATGCCTTTGTTTTGTTTGTTTCCCCTCTTCTGGCTTCCATTTGGTTTTATTTTCTTTATTGTAATCTCCTGCCCCTGCTTCTCCCATCATGCAAACACTCTATTTCTATATCTGATTACTTTTAACCTCTCCAGACAGTTTTTGAACCAAGCTTGTGATGAAAGAAAATTACAAATAAGCTGATGAGTGACTCTAAGCATTTCTTGTATCTACAAAGAGATGGAAGAACGGTGGTTGCTGAAATCTTAGGTTAACATGATGATTAGTGATGCTCTTCAAGCCACATGCTTTGACAATAGCAGGTAAATAAATAAAAACTGCCTTGATTTATATCAATGAAAATATGTTTATATTCATAGTTGTTGAGATGATTTCATTTTTCTCCTATGTGATGAGGATGATCAAATTTTATTTTCTTTATTAAACAGTAAAAAAAGCAATATAAATGAGATAATAAGGATATCCCTAAATTTCACTTTGTACTTATTAAATTATGTACTTGTAAATATGCATTGATATTAAAGAGTAGTATCATTCATACAGATTTTTCAGAAAATAAAGCAATTCTGAAAGTAGGAAAGGGGGACAACTTATGATTAAAATGAAAGGAGAAAGAAACTTAACAGAAGAAAGAAGACAAAACATTAGGTCAAAATAGCTTTTCAAAACACACCTTTGAATGGAGACAGGCAGGGAGCACCTGAGTGGCTCAGCAGTTGATCATCTGCCTTTGGCTCAGGGTGTGATCGAGTCCCACATCAGGCTCCCCACATGGAGCCTACTTCTCCCTCTGCCTGTGTCTCTGCCTCTCTCTGTGTCTCTTATGAATAAATAAATAAAATCTTTGGAAAAAAAAAGAATGGGGACAGGCATTTTTGTTCCCTGTGCTGTGGTTTATCTCAGTTTCTTATCAACCAACACCCTTTAAATGTGCAAAAGGTACATAATCATAAAGGAAAATATCCTCTCTGTAGACTACTTCATACAAAGAATCAATCCTAGGATACCCTTGGTCATTTCTCTACCATGGTCATTCTAGCTATAAAACATCCAAAGAATTTAATAAATCAAAGTAGTCCAGTGGTAATTTTTTTTTAAAGCCCTACTTCAATATCAATGGAATAATAAAAGGCACCGATTAATATAGGTCTTACTTTTTATTTTTTTCTTTAAAAACGTATTTATTTTCATCCTTTATTTTTTTTAGAGATTGATTTATTTAGAGAGAGAGCACAAGCACAAGCAGTGAGAGGGGAGAGGGAGAAGCAGACTCCTGAAAGGGGCTTGATCCCATGACCCTGAGATCATGTAGGTCTTACTTTTTAAATTAAATGCTACTTATTTTATTTAGGTAAGCTCTTTTATCTGAATTGTACAAAGACCATACAAAATCTATGTTAGGTTCTCATACTCAGTGGCTTCACATTATATTCTTACCATTGGTAATAAAGGAAAACATTTTTCCCTGAAAGCCAAGGAGGTAACTCTACATATGTATGAAGCAAATATTTTTTCAAATCAGATTAGTTAATAAACTGCACCACTTTTAAAGTTGCACATGGTATAATAGGGCAAATACTGCTGTTCTGATTGCTGCTGTTGTTGCAGAATTCTGTAACAGATGAATGTATGAAAGCTCTAGCAGTAAGCAGGAGGCCTCCTGAAGACTCAATACCCAAGGAAGCCCATGTCCCAGTACCCACTGAGGCTCCTCCTGAGCGTGCTGACTGTACACAGCTGGGCACCTGTACCTTGCAAACTGTCATTCACAATTACATGATCAAAAAATTAGCCAATCTGTCTCTATATTTTTTTAAAGATTTTATTTATTTATTCATGAGAGACATAGAGAGAGAGAGAGAGAGAGAGAGAGAGACAGACACAGAGAGAGAGGCAAAGACACAGGCAGAGGGAGAAGCAGGCTCCACACAGGGAGCCTGACATGGGACTCGATCCCGGGTCTCCAGGATCCCACCCCAGGCTGAAGGCAGTGCTAAACCACTAAGCCACCAGGGCTGCCCCTGTCTCCATATTTTGAGCTCAATCTTCCATCTTGTAGATCTTCATCGTTGAACTTCAGGTCCACCAAGTAGCCTGTGATGATCTTGGCATTCTTCTCAGAATGCTTCATACAATCATGTTGGATGGCTTTATAAATATGACATGGGACTTCAGTTGGTGGCTTCAAGCTACTTGAACACCCTAAGGCTCGGAGTCCATGACACATACCTTCCCTTCTTTAAGGACTGTTTGAACAGCATCCATACAGGTGCCACACACGTGGCTATGTACTCATCATATCGAGCATCCTGTGACCTTACATGAGGATTTCAAATATTTTCTTTGATATACAGTGATACTCATGTCTATCCATTTCATAGCTCTTTTTTGGAACAAGTAGTATGAGGCATAGCACTTTGGAAATGGTTAAGATTAAGTTCCATAGATTGTCTTCTCAGTGCATTTACTGCAATGCCAGAAGTTCCCGCGAACACTATAAGGCAGTGCTCATCTGCAGAGTGGTGCTGGTGGGGTGCCCAGTGTGCTAAGGCAGCTGCTGGCACTGCACACTCTGGTGTGCAGCTCAAGAGCTTACTTTTTAAGATTGAGTCATGAATCTTTCTAGCAGCTCACTGCAACATACCTATGACTTGGCTGTCATTAGCTTTAAGATTTCCTTGAAAATAACCTATAATAAAAATATCCCAAGACATTTTTCTTTCAAATTGATCTATGACTTTAAAGCAATTTTAATCAAAACTCTTAAGATGCTTTGTATAAATTAACTGATTCTCAATTTTAGGTAGATATGCAAAGACATTAGAATAGCTAAACAATTTTGAAAAAGAAGAAAGTTGGAGGCCTTACACTGGCTGACTTCAGGACTCACTATGAAGGTTCACGAATCAGAACCATGGTACTGGAGGAAAGAGAGATCAATGGAACAGAACAGAGTCTAGGAACAAATTCCCAGTTGTACTGACAATTCATTTTCAACAAAGTTGCCAGAGTGAATCAGTGGAGAAAAGAAGGTGTTTTCAACAAATGGTGCTGGAACAGGTGGATAGACATATGCAAAGACAAACAAATTTGATGCTTACCTCACACCATATACAACAATTAACTCAAAATGGATCTTAGGCCTAAAAGTACAGTCCTTAGGACACAGAAAACAAAATAAAAAAATAGGGAGAGTTCATCAAAATTAAACACTTTGACTCTCCCTAAACCAATATTTCTGAAATGAAAAGGTAAGCCACAGATTGGGAGAAAATATTTGCAAACCATATATGTAATAAAGAACCTGTATCCAAAATATATAAAGAACTCTTAGAACTCAAGAAGAAGACATTGCAGAAATGTGTCAGTGGGTGGATCCTCTAAATTTTATGCCGTGTGCCTTACTTGCCTTGTCTTACTCTAGTCCTGGTCCTTACAGACAAAAACCTGCTTTTGTAACTGTATATATTTGGAATTACCTGACTGGACAGTTAAAAAATAAATAGAGTTACTTTAATGAAAAAAAAAAAAAAGAGAGAAGACGACAATCTAATTTTTAAGAATGGATAAAAGGTTAGAATTGACACATCACGAAGAGGGCACATGGAAGGCAAGTAAGTCCAGGAAAAGACACTTAACATCTATAGTTATTAGGGCGGTGCGCACTAATGCCATGACATTGCACGTGACACCATGCACCTGTTCTCGAATGGCTAGAATGAAATAGGCTGAGAATAGGAGGTTTTGGTGAGGATGCCAAGCCACTGGAGCTCTCCAAAGCAGCTGATGGGAATGCACAACGGTGCGGCCGCTCAGGGAAGAATTTGGAAGTGGCCCAGCAATCACAGTTCTAGCTCTTCTAGCTCTTTACCCAAGAAAGCAAGCCCTCACACATTCTAGCCTGCAAATGTTCACAGCAATTTTATATATGATATTCTAAAACTAGAAGTAACCTGAGTATCTATCAACCCATGAACGAGTAAACAAACTGTCCATATAATAGAACACCACTCAGGGAAAAAAATCCCCAGAAATAAACTAAGCACCTGAGAAATCTATTAGGCTAAGTTTAAAGACTCTGCTGAAAGTTTACTGGGGAACCAGGATGGATACCTCTGGATAGAATGGGTTGCACACCTGGGAGGCCTGAGAAGCCTGTTTCTGGAACACAGAACCTTATTTCACCCGTCATTTAGGACTAGGGCAAAGGAGCCAGAAGCCAGAGGAAAACTGCTAAGTTGGTATGCTTATGGACCCCAAAAGTGGAGTGGACTAGATCTCTCCATTCATGTGATTAAACTTGATGAAATAGCTGAGGATAATCTCACAGCTTCTTTTCAGAGAGAAAACAAGTGCTCACTTGAATTATGTCTGCTTTAATTACTGGTTTAATGTCATGTTCCCCTTTGTCTCCGTCCCCAATGAGGGTATTCCATGTGCTCAGCTTCAATATTCTCCAGGGACCCAGTAAAACCCTGCCTATTTCTTCTCTACAGTCAACACAGGAAGGCGTTACCTGCAGGGGAGGGTCTCACAGATTTCCTCCTGCAAGAAAAAGCATCCCACAGGCTCTGTCCCCTGAGAGGAGGGTCCCATACAGGTCTGGCTCCTGCAGGGCAGGTACTCACACAGGCTTCCTGCTGCAGGTGCTGTAGGGCCCTCTTGGCTGGGATGAGGAAGTCAGTGAGGCAGCGCAGCCCGTCCCCACCGTGGAGTCTCTCGGCCACGCTGAACAGCTGCCAGAGCACCGTGGCTGACGTGGCCTCAAAAGGTGGATAAAGGGCAGACAGTGTGTTCTGGATACAGGTGTCAAGGGATTCCAGATCCTGAAATGCAAGAAAGGACCAGGTAGTTTAAGACACGAAGAAGACAGGCGCTGAGGACACTTTGACAGACTAGCTAACGGTCGGCTTTTCGGGCTCTGCCTTATGTCTGGGCATGTGAGTTGTCTTTGTGGCATAGGAAGGTACAGGCAAGTCCTCAGCACAGTGGGGGACTCCCCTCGGAGCCATCTCCTGGGCCTTCACATTGTCACACAGCAGAGGCATACCGAGGAAGTGCCCCTGCTGCATCAGGTAGGCAGACCCCTGTGCTCATGAGGGGCACTCCAAATAATACTTTTTTTAAAAAAGATTTTATTTATTTATTCATAAGAGACACAGAGAGAAAGAGAAGCAGAGACACAGACAGAGGGAGAAGTAGGCTCCATGCAAGGAGCCCGATGTGGGACTCGATCCCGGGACTCCAGGATCACGCCCTGGGCCGAAGGCGGGCACTAAACCTCTGAGCCACTCAGCGATCCCCCAAATAATACTTTTTAAGTGAGGTTCTTGCTGCTGTCACACAAAACACGCTCAAGTTCGACCCCATCGAAATGTGCACCTGAAATGCTGTATTTAGGATTATTTGTAGAGCATGTGTAGGTTCTCAGGGCCTTCTCCTCCCCTGGTCATCACACCCTGGGCACTCCTGGGTCTGCAAGGAAGAAAGAGGGAGGCTCCTGGGCCAAGGACAGAGCTGGTCCACATGTAATTTAATACTCAGAAAACTTCACCCACAGTAAATACATTTTAATTGTACTGATAATTCTTAAAATATTTAAACAACAACCATTAGGGCACCCTTTATCAAAAAAACAGAATTGTACCCATTCGGTCATTCTTAAAACAGTATCCTTGATACCTGATTTCCTCTTTATGTTTCAATGCAATGGAATTTTATGTAAAGATAGAATGCTTTTCGTTTAAAAGATGTTTAATGCTATTTTTAGATGTAACATTTCCTGAGGAAATACCACAGGGTTCATTTATTTAGAAAAAAAAAAAAAAGCAAGGCTACAAGTAACAGTTAAAAGTCAAAGTGGTTAAAATTGTGAAACCGATTTTTATTTATTTATTTATTTATTTATTATTTATTTATTTATTTAGAAACCGATTTTTAAAGGGACAATGGTTCCATCCGAGATTCCTCTGAACAGCTCACGATACAGATAATTTCCTAAAGAAATTGAAAATAAAACAGCGAATCCCCTGGACCTGAAGTGGGGAAGGACTCAGACCATCTGTCCCGCTGAGGGGCCAGGATGCACAGCAACAAGGGACGTGTGCGCTGCGGTGAGTTCACCTTTGGAAGCTTCCACCACTGTGCAGCACAGAGGGGCACTGTGGTGGCTGAGGCACCCACACAGGCTTCCCTGTGTCTGTCTCTGTCTGCTCCGCTCCCTGCACATGCTTGGCTTTCCCCACCAGACAGGGCCATTCAATCATTAGGAATTGTCTAACTACTCATTTTGTCCAGAAAATGCCAAGATGGTCGGATGTCTAAAAACTCAAGTCACACCTTAGCCACCGGTGAACATCCAACCCATGGGAAGGATGGAGGTGGTCTTGAGCCAGGAGCAAGAATCATGCCCCAAATAGGATGTTCCTCACAGAGATCTGAAGCAAACACTTAACTGTGATAAAAAGAAACTGGCAAAGTGGAAGGGCAGGTCCTTAATGACCTATGTCAGAGGAAGTGAAAGGCAAACTGTGGATCCTCCCAGGAAGAGAGGTACTCCTGCTGTGCGGATACCCAAGTCCAGACCGGCTCCTCCTCCAGACTCATAGGTGGGCCCTCGTTCTCATGTCCAGCTGTCATCAGCAGCCTCTCAGTGGGTCTCCCAGCCTCCACCTCACCCGTTCACTTTCTGAAAACTGCCCCGTTTCAGGAAGAGATGGGCAATACTTGCTGACATCTCTGGGATCCCACAGCTTCCCTGGCCCCTTCTCTGCCCAGTGATTCCTACCGTGACTGAGTGAGGCTCCAACACATGGCCTGGGGGGCACCCCTCCACCAGCTCTCACTCTCTGGGCACCATCCCCACCCAGGTCCTGGTCCGGGCAAAAGCTGCCCAAGGGAAGCTGTCTGTGTGCCCAGAGGCCACTTCCCAGGTCAAGCTGAGGAAGCCTCGGGCAAGCCAGAGGAAACATTTCTCTAGCCTCGTCTATGCTAATGTGCCCGAAGTAACTGTCAGCACAGCCCCTTCCTGGCTGTCACCTGCCTCTCTGTGCACTTTGTGAGCAGGAACAGCAGAGCATGTGCTGCTGCATTCAGGGTCACAGCCTCACGAGCTCCCCAATCATTGTGCAGATGGTGCCCATTCTTGGTCATGGGAAGAGAGGGTCTGACAAATAAACAGACTGCATGACTAGGGGTGGGCGCAGCCTGAGAGCCATCCCAGGCTCATCAGCATGGTGGCATGTGCACAGTACAGGCCAACCATTCCCACCTTCACAAAACTCTAACAATTTAGTTCTTTCAAGAGACACAAATTATAAGAGGGGGGAGGCAGATATACATGATCCTGAGAGCAGAGGGGCAAAATGATCACATTACCATGAAACCAAATCACCTGATACATTCAATTCAGCTTAAGAAAACAGGTAAGAATATAGTATATTTTAGGAAGATTTCCACAAGAAATGCTTAAAAAGAGAAAATTATCTCAGTCTCTTAAAGGGTAAAGATCAATCATCCTGAATGTTTAACATCCTTAATGTTTAAGAAAATGTGTAATATTTTCTTTGTTAATGTTTGCTGGGATAAGTGTGTATGTGTTAGAGCTGAGTGTGTGAATGAAGGAAAAAGCGTTTACAGAGCTGGGTGTGTGTAAGAGAGAAAGTGTGTGTAAAGAAAAGTCTGTGTGAGAGAAAGTGTGTATGAGGGAAATTGTGTGAGGGAAAGTGTATGGGACAGAAAGTCGGTGTCAGGGAAAAGGTGTGTGTGAGGGAAACTGTGTGTGAGTGACAGTGTGTGTGAAAGTGTGAGAGGGAAAGTGTGTGAAAGTGTGAGAGGAAGTGTGAAAGTGTGCATGAGGAAAGTGTGAGAAAGAAATGTGTTGAGGAAAATTATGTGTGAAAGTGTGTGAGAATGTGTGTGTGTGAGAAAGTGTGAGAGGAAAAATGTGCATCAGGGAAAGTGTGTGTGAGAAAGTGTGTGTAAGGAAAAGTGTCAGGAAAGTGTGAGAGAAAAGTGTGTGCGAAGGAAAATGTGTGTATGAGGGAAAGTGTGAGAAAATGTGTGTGAAGGAAAATGTGTGTGAGTGAAAAAGTGCGTCAGAGGGAAAGTGTGTGTGAGAGAAAGTGTGTGTTTGTGGGAAAGTGTCAGGGAAAGTGTGTGAGAGGGAAAGTGTGTGAGTGAGAAAGTATGTGTGAGGGGAAGTGTGTGTAGAGAGAGAATGTGTGTGAAGGAAAATGTGTGTGTGAGGGAAAGGGTATGTGAGTGAGAAAATGCGTGTGAGGGAAAGTGTGTGTGAGTGAGAAAGTGTGTGTGAGGAAAAGTGTGTGAAGGAAAATGTGTGAGGGAAAGCGTATGAGAGGGGCAAGTGTGTTGGAGGGAAACTGTGGGAGAGAGAAAGTGTGTGTGAGGATAAGTGCCTGTGAGGGAAAATATATGTTAATGCCAGTGTGTGACGGCATCTGAAGGTGTGTGTTGGGGGTAGATTGGTGGTGAGTCATGAGAAAATTAGGGGCAAATCCTTAAAACAGTTCCTGGGCCTTTGGTTGCCCAGGAAGAGAAGGGAGTAGCCACAGGGTCGGGGAGAATGTCTGCGTAGGCACCTCTGGCCAATTCAGCCTGGGCCTGTTCTCTGTAGGGCGCAACTGACCCGTTCACCGAATCTGGCACGCCATCGGGTGTGCAGAAGTAGGAGGGAAGAAAGCAGACAAAGGCAAGTGCCATCACGTTGTTGATGGTAAAGGACTGGTTTCTTCGCTCACGTCCGGATTCCCACTTCGACCAGAGGAACACACACAGATTTAGGCGGACTTCAAAACCAGGACCTTCGCCTGTTTACTTGATCTGAGTCTTACTGTGGCTTAAAGTACAATTCTTTGCCGACGTACATTAGTGGACTGAGCACACAGAACCCGTACAAAGCACTTAATTACCATTTTGCTGCACCGTGAATCAGTGTGTTGTTACTGGGCCAACTGCAGGACTGCCTTTGCATTTTAACAACGGAAAATGTTTACGTCTGGAGAAACACTTCAGGGCTCTACTCTTCAAAGAAGGATTTATTTTCCCAATTAACTTTAGGTAAAACTTTATGAGTGTTGGGTGAATTTTAAAGTCTAGACCCTTGTCTCTCACACTGCCAGCAACCCCCATGAGTAAGCATGTCCCTCCTGGCACCCAGCCCACAGGAGATGACCCAGCCGCAGCGCACGGGCTCTCCCTGCAGCCCTCCAGGCCTCACATGTACTGCAGATGAGAAGACAGAGGCTAGGGGTTCACAGGCCTTTCGGTGCCCATCCTGGGGGGGCCAGTCTCAGGGACGTCAGAAAAATGCTTGGATGTTTGGTTCTAAACTGTGCATCAGCTGCAAACGGCCTGCTTCTTCCTCCCAGGGGACAGGTCACATGCTAAATGTCAAAACAAAGGTGATTTCTTCTCACCTGGTGCTGAGCTAAAGGACAAGGCCAGCTGATGAACAGGGCAAGGACACAGCAGGGGTGCCCTGTCCAGGGCCCAGCAGGCTGGAGGCACTGGGCCAAGGCTGGCCTGGCAAAGACTGATCATGGAGGCTTACACTTTCACTCAAGTACAACATCCCTAAAGAGGGTTGAAGGCAGAGCCACAGAGTTGTGGGAGGGGCTGTCGGCAGGCTGGGTGGACCTGGATATCAGGAAGACTGGAGCGTCTGCAGAGGCACCCTGCAGGTACCACCCCTGTCTCCTAGAGAAGGGCGCCCCAAGACGAGAGCCTGCTAGGTAGCCAGATCCCCAAGGAGGCAGTGCACAAATGAGGCTCCGAGACTCTCACCCTGCTCTCCCGGCGTAGTCAT